GTGCTCCCTGGGACTGTCAGGAAGCAGATTGCCAGCCTTTCTTCCATGGTACTCTGGGAGGACCTGAACCTTCAGCCTTTTGGTTTGTAGCTAAGCTCGCTGTTGACATCTCAAAAATATGCTGATATTTACAGAGAACTCACTGTATATCAAGCCCTGTTCAGAGCCTTCTCGTGTACCACTCTGCCCTCCCAACCAACCCATGTCCACCCTTGTTACAGAGACAGAGGTGTGTCCGCAGCCTCTCACCCACTCTGCCATGCTGCCTTCCTGGATCTCAGCATACAACCTGGCACAAAGCCTGTGTCCTGTGAGTGTTTGTTGGCCAAACATTTGAAATCTGGACAGTCTGGAAAATCCAGACCTGCTGTCACATTCACAGTACAAAGTCCACCCTTAGGACCAGCGCTCCACATTACAATCCTGCAAACAACCAGTCCTGGGAGGTGCACCCTCTGTCAACACCTCTAATTCATCCTGGGACACTGGCCCTCTGTCCCCTATGCTGTGCATCTTTGGGAAGGTGCCCCTATGCTGTGCATCTTTGGGAAGGCCACCTTCCCTCTCTGAACCTTGGCAGAAGGGCCAGACCTAGAACCAGAGATGTCTGGAGGCGTGTGGAGATTTTGCAGAGGCCGGAAGTGAGAGCGTAGCAGGAACCCTGGTTCCCACTTTCATTTCCCCAGCCCTACAGGGAGTTCTGGCAGCTAAATGGTAAGAAGCTGCGCTGCGATCCCAAAGTACATGGTTTGAATCCACCAGCTGCTCTGTGAAAGGAGGATGGGCAACTTCCTCCCATGCATTTTACTGCCTCTGAAAACTTGCTGGAGGGTCAGCACTCCACAGCACACAATCACCACCTCTGCCTCCCCGTCTTCCTGGGCTGTGTGGTCTGTGTTCCTTGGGGGCGACCTGGAGTGAAGAACGTGGGATAAAAAGCAGGATGCAAAGTCTGCTTGGTGTCCACTGAGCCCGGAGGTTGCGGAGCTTGACACGGGAGGACAGGGCACAGGTCCCTAACTGGGCTTTAGGAGTTCCGATGGGTGACCTGATCTGTGGTTGTAATGGAGGCTGTGTAGATTCAGAGACATCACTGGGGCATTGGCCGGGCACCCTGGCTTGTCTCTGAATCCTCCCAGAACCCAGGGGATGACGACCAGCTCAGACGTGGGCTAAGCTCCAGCCTCGCCGCCATGACTCTGTCCCATTTAGGGCACCGTGGGTCTGTGCACATACCCACTGAAGGGAAGGGGGTTTGGTCTGGGGGACAAACACCCTTTCAAGGGGCCACTGAGCAGGAAGGGTTGAGCTGGAGCTGGCAGTAACCAGTCCTCTCCTGGTGTGAGAACCAGGGCCTGTGCCTGCAGGGACCCCACCGGGCCATGTCTCATACATGAGGCGCTGCTGCCACCTCGTGGTCCCCATGTGACACCACAGCCGAGACAGGTGTCTGACCTGACCTCCACCCACCTGGAGTAGGCCATCCTGGACCCCACCTCGTCTCACAGCCAGGCCCCCTCTACCCTGGTCCACAGCCGGGCCCCCTCCACCCCGCACCATCAGGGACACCAGTTCACACACAGGAGGACAGGGGCACAGTAACAGGCAGTCTCCAGGATGGGGAGTCCAGATGTGGGGTCAGGGGCTGACCACTGAGAGCAGGGAAGGTCAGGAGGCGGCTGAACTGGGTCCATGCCCCCAACAGTCCAGGGGCGATGCTGAGGCGGGTCTGGGATTGGGGCGTGTGGGGCCCACAACAGTTAATAATGCACTTGGTGCATCTTCCCTGGGACTGGTGCCAGGCTACAGTGATGCCGAGAATGAGGAAACTGAGGCACAGCTGATCATCAGGTCATTTCCCACGGCCGAGTCAGGGTTTGCTCCGCTCCATGGCGACTGCAGAGGGTGCGTCTGTGTTAGCAGGTGGAGGCCGACGATGTGGGGGTGGGGGTCCAGTGGCCCATGAAGGGGTGGAGGCACCTTGTCCCCCACCCAGCCCCAGGCTGTCGGCCCAGTGTCCCCCCACAAGGCAGCTGGACAATGGCACCTCCTTAATTCAGCCCCCAGAGCCAGGTAGACCCGCAGCTGGGTCTATTGCACGAGGATGACTGCAGGTGACCCGAGGCAGGGTTGCCAACTGCATGTGCCAGGCTGCCGGCCCCGCTCTGAACTGCCCTTCTATCTGGACCCTTCCCAGGCAGGTGCTGTCCCTCATTGAGCCCCGGCCACGCACCCTGTGCAGAATGCCACCTGTTCTGACATTCCAGATCCCCTGGGTCCTGGGTCTACTGAACCCAAAAGGCCCCGACACCCATGTTACCTGGCTGTCCCACTCAATCCCAAACCCTCACTTCCTAACCAGCCTCCCTATGCTGTACTCCCCATGCCTTGACCATTACGCGCTCAGGGACCACCACACACGTTTAACTACATTTAATCATCTGTACACATATAAGTGGGCATTTTAACTGTTTGCAGGGCCATCGGCCCCTGGAGCCAACCTCGGAAAGTTCTGGGCTTCCCAGCTGACCTGGAGGGACGGATCCCTTGGCTTTGATATATGTGAAACCATAATTCTTCCAAGGGGAGCCTGTTTGGTAAATGGGGGTGAGAAGGGCAGCCCTGAGGGAAGGGGGTCCTGGGCAGGGGACACCACTGTGAGTAGAAAGGGTTGGGAGCCCACTCTTCCACAGCTTAACACACAGCGAGGCAAGACCCTGCTTCACTGAGCCTCAGTTTCCCCACCTGTAAGTACTGGCCAAAGCCACTGACCCCACTGGGCTGTTGTGAGGTATGAATAGGCCAGGGGAAGGGAGGGAACAGAACCCTGTCCCCACGACCTATGACACTATGGCCACTGAAAGCCAGCAGATCAGGGGACCCCAGGGCTGCATGTGTGCACCCGTGCATGCCACACCCCAAAGCGGGGGACTTAACAGATCTGTTATTGTCACAGGCCTTCGCTGCCCTTTGTGACCATGCAGGAACCAGATGGCAAAGGAATATGTTAGAACAAAGATGATCACAAAGTCCAGTCTGTTAGGAGAACAGATCACTTGGAATCGAGTTCAAAACTCAGCTTCCTGCTCCAGCTACTTGGGGGAAGGTGTGCTGTTGCTGGATGTGATTGAGGAGCCCTGGAGGAGAGGCCTATCCCGATGGACGTCACCTCGAGCAGGACAGGATGAGGGTGCCTTGTGCCCAGTGGGGGCGCAGTGACACAAATACACACACTTTGTGGGTTGAACTTGTACTACTGATGTGTGGACAGGAGATCTCGAGTCTGGGCCAGCTGTGTGGGTGGCATTACTGGGGTGTCATAATTCCCACTGCTCCAGGGCCCGCTCAGGCTACACCACTGGGGTGTCATACTCCCCACCGCTCTGGGGCCCGCTCAGGCTACACCACTGGGGTGTCATACTCCCCACTGTTCTGGGGCGCTCAGCCTACACCACGGGCCTGCCCACCGTCTCAGGGGAGGGTTAAGTGCAGAGTTCACTGTGGGTGCCCCAAGCCACTCCCTCTGCCCCCACTTCACTGGGAGGGCTCGATGGGGTCAGGTCTCTGGGTCCAAACCACACCTCAGAACAGGGGCTGCTGCATGCCTCTGCGGAGACCCCTCCTCATTCTCAAGCTCTATCCCCAAATTTCCCGTGAATTCCCCTTTTTGAGTCCTGGGGTCCACTGAGCCTCCCTGACACTCCCGAACAGCAGGCTTTGAGGCAGACCCCCCTCACTGCAGCCCTGGCCTCCCACGTGGAGGGTGGGCGAGGGGAGCAGGGTGGGCAGGAAGTGGACTCCAGGCCAGTAGAGCACAGCCAAGGCTGGGGACACTCTGGAGAATTCATGACACTAATCCCTGGCGTTGTGTGTGTGTGGCGTTATCCAGAAGGGGTTCATCACGCCTGCCTCTGAGGACACCCGCACTGTTCCCTCCTCACACCTGGCTAACTGGGTCTGGCTCAGTTATCTGTCAAGCGGGCTGGGAAACTTTTCCTGTCACAATGAGTCCACGGGACAGCTTCCAGGGTCAATTGATCCCAAAGCTGGGGTGCCTGACCCCTGAGCCCTCTTGCAGATGTTTACCGGCAGGCAACCCTGTCTAAACATTCTCCCTCCCTGTGTCCCACACGCCGGACGGTCCAGCTGGACCATCTCACTAGGTCCTGGGAGGGCCACTGAGGCTGAGCCCGGGTGGCGAGCAGGTGTGGCTGGTTCCTCGGTGCTATGCCATCTACAGATACTTCTGGGGCTGTCACCAGCCCAGCCCAAGGAAGCCACTTCTTCCGTGGAGACTGAACAAGGCTGCTGCCAGAGGGCTGGTTTTCTACCTTTTATTGGGGATACAAAAGGCACTCCTCCCAAGAGGACCTCGAACATGGGCCCCCAGCCTACTGGAGGCCTGTCAGGAGGAAGAGAAAAGATGAATGGAAAAGGCAGTGGGGGCAGTGGCGTGCCCGGGTGCCCCAGGCACCCAAGCCATAGCCTGTCCTTGGGATCTGGCGGCCCCCAGCATGCACAGCTCTCAGTGCGCCCTGCCTGCAGCAGCCGGCAGAAGCCTCGGGGCGATGCGAGACAGGGCCGGTGACAGCCGCTCCTCCGGTCCCCATTCCCCGGCAGGGCCGTGCCTGGCAGTGAGGCCTGGAAGAGGGCTCCCAGGATGAGTGCATGGAGGGGTCACCAGGGCAGGGAGAGTCACACCAGGACACCCAAGCAGCTGGCCTGTCGCGGGCCCCTAATTCTCAGCCAAGTTGTAGTGGTCGGTTGGGGTGGGGAAGGAAGCAGACAGCCAGGCTCCCAGTGGGGAACCAATCTGTTCCCCCAAATCCATCCGCTGCCTCCCCACCCCAAGGCGGCATGGACTGTCAGCAGCTGGGTCAGCTCCACTGAAGAGAGAGGAGGGGGCAGCCACCCCCAAAGCAGCCTAAACACCAAAGGGGGAAGAGAGGCCCTGCGTGGGGTGTGGGAGCGGCAGGCCGGGCGCTGGGGCAGGCCCAGCCCTCACAAGGCAAACAGCATGTCATCATCTTTGTCCTTGGTCTTCTTCCGAGGGGCAGTGCCAGAAGGAGGTCCTGGGGGACCCTCGGCTGAGGGGCTGGAGAGGTTGGGTAACCGATCGGCAGCCTTGGCCCGCTCTTCCAGGAACTTGTCAAATTCTAGAGGGAGGAGAGAGTGTGGGCATGGGTAGGGGCCAGAGCTCGGGGAGGGGAGGGCGCGCAGGGCCAGGGGACTACTACCTTCACTGGTGACGCCCTTCGCCTCTTCAGCGTCGTTCCCCTGGAAGGAGAGGAGAGGTCAGTCAGGCCCTCTGTGGCCAGCACTGTGGGCTGGGGCGGGTGTTGGCCCGCTGGTGTCACTCTGCCTGTACTAACTGCCTCAGGGTCACCTCCCTCCTTCCAGCCCGTTTCTCTTCAGTAAGATGGGAACGATGGAGCTGGCCAGCTGTGGAGCTAAGACGCGGAGGGCTCAGCGGGGCTGTGGTGCCAGCAGCTTGTCCTCCGTCTGCGCCTGGCCCAGGTGGAAGGGCTGACCCCTGGGGACTAAGCAGTGCATGTTAGAGCTGGGGACAGAGGCTGAAGCGACTGGCTGTCCTCTCTAAAGGGATGCTTCCAGGAGAGACAGGCGCATGCCGCAGGAGGGGGGCCCCTTCCGGCTGCTGAGGTGGCCCACAGTGGTCCTCTCCTTCCTCACTGTCGGTCCACCTGACCCCTCAGGCACCGCATGGCTGCTCCATGACCCTGTGGACGCTCACTTCCTCAGGAACAAAGTGAAAGCCCGGCACCCCAGCCTCCAGAGCTGGACCAGGCTGCAAGGCGGGCGAGCCCCGACTTACCACGTCAGTGGACAGCCACTGCTCAATGTCCTCCATGAGGGCGGCCTGGGTCACGGGCATCTGGAAGGCAGGACAGAGGGTGAGGCCAGGATGGCGGGGGCAGTGTGTGTGTAATATGGTGGGGGGGGGGGTGAATCCCCATCAACTCTGCACTTTGGTTCCTGCAGCCTGAGCTCCTTGCAGGAAGTGGGTCCTTCTCTGTGGCCCTAAGGAGTAGAGATCTTGACATCCCTCCTCCAGATGACTTCTGGGTCTCCTGGTGAATCCAAGATGCTCCTGTCCAGCTGCTGGGCACCCACAGTCCTGCCCACTGTGCCAATGCTGTGGGTGAGGTGGGTGGGGGCCAGGAGGCTTGGCAGGGGTGGGGTGAGGGGCCTGTCCCAGCTGGAAATGGGCCCCAGATTAAGGCCTGGGCAACTCAGGGAGGGACCAGGACATCCTCTCTGGCTACCACACCAGGATGGGGGTCATCAGGGGCTGACTCCTGCACCTCTGGGGACCCAGGGCTGACAGGGAAGGGGATGTAGCCTCAGAGGATGTTCAGCATGCTAGGGTATGAAGTCCTGAGCACTTGCCTCGCCCTAAGCAGACGCTCAAGAAGTGCTGGTCAGCGACCACTGAGCCACCACCAGGCCAAGCCCTGAGCTCCACCAGCAGCTTTGACGCCCTCCTGGGTGGCAGAGTGGACAGGAGGCAGCCATCCACATCCAGGGGACCAGCAGTAGCACCCTTTCCCGTGCAACTTGACCCAGCAACCTTGCAGCCACCAGAGGGGCTGCTGTGGCCTGGCTTTGGCGTGAGGCTCAGAAAACAGCTCTTGGAGATCAAGGAAGGAGTGGAGGGAGTGGACCCACTCGGTCCACCTGGGAAGACGGTGGGCCTTGGGGCCCCTCTGGCCTCCTCTGGGTTGTCTACAGGTCCTGCACCCTCACAACTCTCTGCCCCCTCCCCTCTTTTTTTTGCTCAAGAAGCAGCACCCAGCAGACAGGGGAGGCCTGGGCCCTTCTTCCCAAGCCCTGTCTCACCATCCAGTCACTGAGCAATTCTCACCACTGTGGTCGCAGTGCGCAGGCAGGGGAGGGGCTGTGGGAGGTCCCTTTGGGACAGAAGGTACCTGTGTGGAGGTGAGTGTGTGCACGCGTGGTCTCTGTGTGTACGTGGCATGTGTATGACATGGTGTGTGTGTATATAGTGTTTGTGTGGTTTGGTATGTCAGTATGTAATGTGTGGTGTGGCACACATGTATGCTGTAGCACAAATAAATATATGCATTTATGTACACACACACACACACACATATACATACATACAAACACACATGGCATGGTGTGTATGTATGCTGTGGTGTGTATGTATGGTATGTTGTGGTGTGTATATATGTGGTCTAGGAAGAGCCTGGGGCCAGGAGGGACCCGGTCCTTGGAGAAGGACATCATGCTTGGAGGGCTGGAGGGACAGCACAGGAGGGAAGTCCCCGGAGGAGATGGATTGACACAGTAACTGGGGCAGTGGGGGTAGGTGTGTCGGAGTCAGTGAGACTGGCTCAGGAGAGGGCAGGGTTCAGAGCTGCTGGACAGAGGGTCACTATGGGTTACAGGCGACTCGACGGCACATAACTACAATACATGAGTTACAGTGTAGTATATACATATGCTGTGGTGTGCATATATTGTATGTTGTGGGGTGTATACCCGTGGTATGGTATAGTATATACACATTGTGGTGTGTGTATGTGGTATAGTCTATGTGATGTGATGTATATGGTGTGGTGAGTATGTCAACTATGTTACGTAGCTATATATGCTGTGCTGTGCATGTATGCTGTGGGGGATATATATGACGTGCTCTGGTATATATATATATATAAAATGTAGTGGCAGGTGAAGCAACAGAGGGAATCCTGCTATGGGGTGAACCTCAACAGTCCAGGGACCCCAGAGCTTTGAATAGGCTGGGACAAAACATCTTAGCACTTTCCAAAAAGATTCTAAGGGGTTCAGATGAGCATCCTAGGATTTAGAAACATGGGCTGATCTAACCCGTTCGTATTAATTGATGGAAGGTGGGAGACCTCCTCAGGCCAAGAGCGGACAAGTAGCAGAAAGAGGACTCCTGGCTTGTCTCCCGACACAGCGGTCCAGCACAGACCTGCACACGGCGGCCCTCGAGGGGAGGCCGGGATTAAACACTGGCCTGTGCTATCCAGCACCAAGGACCCCGAGACCATGGGGCAAACACCGTTGCCCACACAGCTGGCACTGTCTTCAGTCTTGTCCTTGGCATCACACTCTGACAGAGTAACGGGTGGAAGCTTACCACCCAGCCAGACTTACACTCCCTGGGGGCAGGTGATGGACAGGGTTCTAGGAAAGTCTTATTTCAGGCTAGGAGAAGTCACTGACACCCTTAAGTTACAGCAGACGGATGGGTGATATCTGGCCAGTTTCTGCTTTTCTGCAACTGGAAGAATGGAATTTTGCCAACTTCTCAGCAGCCTGACAGTTACTCACTAGGCGACTAGGGCTCCTAAAAGACATTGCATTTTAAATATTAGAGAGGATGCGGAGAGATAGGAGATCTCACACACTGCTGGCGGGACTGTAAAATGGTACAACCACTCTGGAAGGCAGTGTGGCATTTCCTCAGAAAGCTGAACCCAGAAATTCAATATTCTGGCTATTCCACTCTAGGAATATACCCCAAGAAAATGAGAACTGAGACACAAATAGATTTCTGCACCAATGTTCATAGCAGCATTATTCACCATCACAATAACATGGAAACAGTCCAAATGTCCAACCACAATCGAATGGACTGAGAAATTGTGGTACATTCACATACTGGAATACTACACAGCACTCAGGAGCAATGATCTAGAAAATTACTTCGTAACTTGGGAGAGACTGGAGAGCATTATGCTGAGTGAACTAACTCAGTCCCATAAAGGCAAATACTACATAAGACCATTATTGTAGAAATAGAAGGATAACTAAAGTAAAATGTCTATGAGGATTCAAGATGGGGAGGGTGGGAGCAGAGGGGTGAAGACAGGTGGGGGGAAATCACAGCTGCACAATTTGGTGGGTGGAGGAAGGCAGGGTAAAGGAAGTGGGAGAGATCCTGCGAGGATCCGGAAAAGACAGGGTAATGGTGGGCACAGCTCAATGATGATTAATTTTATAAAATACAATGAATGGGAATGAGCGTATGAAACACAATGGGAATGAAGGATAGTGTGAAACACAATGTATGCAAACTTTGTAAGCAAACCAATATACAGTTTTTTTTTAAAAAAAGAAAACCACCAAACAACAACAACAACAAGAGACACTGCATCTATTGTTTCATTAAGGCTCTTGAGTGAGACTCAGTGTTCTCATCTGTGAACAGGGATAACAACATGCTTTACAGTTGACGTGATGACTCAGGCAGATGGGCACGGGAGGTGTTCAGCACGGGGCTTGGCACAGAACACGTACATGTCTGTGAGATAACAGCTCCTGGAAGAAAAGCCCCTGCATCTGTGTGCTTGGCAGGCTGCCCACCACCCTCCCTGTCCTGGTCCTGCCATCACAGTGCAGTGGTGCCTGCACAGTTTAGAGCTGACCCCTGAGGAAGCCTTGGTGCACAGATGGCGTGACCCTGGTGAGTTGCTGGGACTTGACCCCACGGTGGATGAACCAGCTCCCACTGCTTCCACACTGGTTCCCCAGCCTCCAACCTGGGCGCTTTGAAAACGGAGGTCAGAGAATTGCCTCTGGGCTCCAGATCTGGCCAAAGTCAGTTCCCTGGGATATATCCCTTCACACTGCCCAAAAGTATCCAGAAACAAGGCAAGGGGAGAAGCGAGCCTGGGGTGGGGTGTCAAGGGAAGAACTCCCTCCTGTTATTTTTAGGGCTGTTTCACCCTCTGTCTGCATGTCTGAGGAACACAGAGACCTCTGCAGAGGCAATGCCTGACCTCTGACTGCGTCAAGCACCAAGCATGTTGTGATACTATTAGAAGCTGTTATGGATTTTTTAAAAAATCCCAGCCAATAAGGGTTACAAGCTGTCTAAGGAACACAGCTGCCTGATTCAGATTCTGTTTGGAATCCTTGCTCTATCCCTATTGCTGTGTGCCGCTGGGTAAATGACTTAACCTCTCTGACTTAGTTCCCCCAGCTATGAAATGGGAATAGCCTCAAAGCACCAATCTGGGAACCACAGAAGGGAAGGGCACTCAGTGAGCACCCTCTTCCTCGCTCTGGGCAGACCCCTGGACGTAGCAGGCCCCTGCTTACCGAGCCGGTGTTCTGCTGTCGAGCATCCAGGGCTCCCACCAGACCATCTGTTGCTTGGGGGTCCTCGTACTTGACACTGAAACACAGAGAAATTCACAGTCATTAGAGAGCGTGGTGGTTTCTGTTTTGTTTGCTGGTTTGTGGGAGGCAGGTGCACGGCAGAGGCAAACTGGACTCACGCCGTGGCAGAGGGTATGGGTTGAGGCCTTGATCCCTCTGGCCAGCCTGGGAATGGGAGAACTAGGTTCCTTTCCTGTGGAATGGAATCTAATCTGTGACCTGTACCACAGGCCTCTGCAAAGAGACATTTGGGAGAGTGTTGTTGGCCAAAGACCAAATTCCAGGGACTAAGAAGCAACTCAATAACCTTGTGTTCATGTGACCGAGGTGAGGACTTAGGGGACCACGTGAATAAGCCAGGAGTGGAGGGGGACCTGTAGTAGCAAGCTCTCCTGACTGTCATAATGGGGGTGTCATGGGCAGGTGTCACAGCTCTAATGCTTGGGGGGGGTGCCCACCTTCAGGGCCAGGAAGTGTTAGGAGAAGAAAAGCTTCTCTTGCTTCTGGTAAACCTTGTCTAAGATGCCCTGACCCTGGCTGGCCCACACACCCCAGTTGCTCTGCTGAGGGCCCTGAGGTCAGCACCTGGTCAGTGTGAGAGGCCAGGATAGTGCCAGGTGTAGGCCAAGCTGGAGTGATGTGGGGAGCTAGCTTCCAGGTGATGAGGGTCAACCAGGCTGCAAGAAGGAGGGAGGCGGGCACACCAAGGCAAGCTGAGGGAGGGTGGGTCGGTTAAAGGCAGGCAGAAAAGGCCTAGGCCAAGGTGAGGGCCAGAGGGGACAAGGCAAGAAAGAAGTTAAAAGGCCAGTCCAGTCAGGTCACCAGAGCTAGAAGGCCCGGGAGGGTGGGGGCAGGCACTGGGCAGGAGAACAAAGGGAGGAAACGTGATGCCCAGGCAAAGCTGAGCCCTGCCGGGTGGAAGCAAGCCCCAGGGGGGCCTGCGGGGGAACCTGAGAAGGGAAGTGGCCCAGCGGCTGCACCTCAGCGCGTTCCAGACAGGTGCCTCATTCTTCACGCAGTTCTCGCCATGCTCCCTACTGCTGACGTCAGAGACACTCGAGGGCTGCGCTGCGTGTGGGCCTGGCCACCTTTCCCAGCATCCTGCTTACCTGCTCCACGCATGCAACCCTGAACAGGAGCCAGAACACGCCCCTGGCCCACCCCAGGCTCCCACGCTCCTCCGCCTCTGGCCCTTTGCACATACAGTTCCTCTCTGCCTGAAAGGCCTTTCTGACAGTCCTCCTGTCCAGCCTGGCCACCCTGCAGGTGTGTGCAGTCCCTGCGTGTCCACCGCCCTCCATCCCAGCTCTCAGCACTGCCGAGAAAGGGCCCGCTCGCCAGCCACTCTCCCCTGAGGCCTGGAGGACTGCAGAGCAAGCTTCACCTTTCCTTCTCTACTCCCTCTGGGCTGAGCATGAACGCACCAAATAAGAAGACAGCAAGCCTCCAGTTAGGTGGATGCTAGGCCAGGAGCCAGGGCTCTCCAGCGTGGCCAGCAGAGCCCTCCCTCCCTCTCCAGGGCCCAGGCAGAAGGGTCACCCTTCTGGCTCTAAGTCCCAACAGATTCATTTGCTCCCCACAGGCAGCAGCCCTGACTCCATGGTAACTGAGCAAGCTGCTGGTCCTGAGACACCTGGTCTTGGGAGCACAGAGTCGGCCCTGGACTACAGACACCCACAGATCTCATGGCTGGTAGCGGTCAATGGACAGGGTGGAGGGCTGCGGGGAGGCCAGGATTGCCACGGGCTACTGCATTGACTGGATTTGTCCACGCAGGGTGGGCAGTGATGAGGGGCTCGGAGCTATTTAGGGACCCTTGTGAGAGTTTTCAAAGTTGGGAGCCAGGCAGAGTCCCCTTAACAGAGAGCTTTCCTTGGCTGAGGATGAGAAGGTAAAGGTCAGAGGAACCCCAGGTACAGGGCTCTCCTGACCAGCCTGTGTGGAGCCAAGCCCGGACACACTCAAGCCTGTGGCTGCTAAAAGCAGCGACTGGAAAGGGCTGCCCCACAGGGAAGGGCAGATCCCCAGCTCTGCTGCGCTGTGGGCAGCCCTGTGTGAGGCTGTCAAAATAAAGGGTGGCTGTGGAAGAAGAGGAGCAGGGTAACAAGTCCCTGGACACTTAGAGCCCTGCCCACCGGCGCCTGGAGGGACGGGTACACGGCCCACAGAGATATGATAGCTTCCTGCCAAACACTAGCCATGCATGAGCCTGCCTCTCAGTGCCTCAGTTTCCTCCTCTGACAGGACCACGTGAGGAAGAGTGACAAGTGTGTGACACACAATTGGCCATCAACCTGGAAGTCTCCCTTCCCCATACACCACAGCCGAGGCAGGTGGCAGGGAGCTGGGTCGGGGGGAGCTTGTCTGCCCTGTGAACCACACTGGACCGACTCAGGACACAGGAACTCTGCCCACCTTAGAGGCTGCAGGTAGAGCTCTGCCTCGATCCTCACACTGTGCCACCATCGAGCCTGGTTCTGGACTCTGATGGAGAAAGGTTTCCCCTGTTGACCCCCCTGCCCCGGGTCTCAGGGCAGGACTCACTCTTTCCGCTGGTCGGCCAGGGAGCTGCCTCGAGTCAGTGCAAACATGTCGAACTCGTCTTCCAGGCGGCCGGAGGCGTTCAGAGATTGCAGGCCAGCCCTCACGCTGCTGGAGCCCAGGTCTGTGAGGACAGAAAGGCCGTGTGAAGACCACTCCCGGCCGTCCTGTGGCACCGAAGGCGTGGTGCTGGCTGGGCAGCGATGGGTACGGGGGACAGGGCTGTGGGAGCAAGGATGGGGCAGGACACCCCTGGCTGTGGAACCCTGGGCATGGCACTTCCTTTCTTGAGCCTTACCCAGTCACCTCTTACCCTTACCCGTCTCTCAGGCTGTTGTACCTGGTACAGTAAATGACTCAATAAAAAACAAACAAACAAAATCCAAAACAACCCAAATCTATTGTCGAGTTAATTCTCACTCATGGAGACCTTCCACTGGGTTTCTGAGCCTGGTGGATTTGAACCATTGACTTCCAACCCGCAACCCCAAGCAGCTGCTGTTCGGTCCACTCTGGTGTGCGGCCACACTATGTAATTGTCACAGCAGGTCTGTCCTCCATAGAATTTTCACTGGCTGATTCTCCAAAGCAGATCACCAAGACTTTCCACAGTGGTGCCTCTGGATAGACTAGAACCTCCAACTTTTCAGCTAGGAGCTGAGCACAGTAGCCACATTTCCACCATCCAGGGACTACACACAGCAAGATGATGGTTAGATAGTGAGTTGGTTTTTCAAAATTAGTGATTCAAATAGGATCCTACTTCTTCCCTGGAGCTTGACCTGACACAGTCAGTCAATGATATTAAAAATAATGATGGTGATGAGTGTGGTGGACATTTAAAGAGTGTGCTCTGGGCCTGTTGTTGTTGTTAGGTGCTGCTGTAAGTACATCATGAGTTATGAGTGTGACGCATCGCGACCCTAGGAACAACAGTTCTGAGCCGTGTGCTATCTTGTGCCAACCTCAGCATCTCTGACACACTGGAGCCCAGTGCTGCAGTCACTGTGTCAATCCACCTGGTGGAGGGTCTCGCTCTCCTCGTGGTCCTCCCATCCTTCCCAGCGTCATGGCCCTCTCCTAGCAACATGCCCGGAGGATGGGAGACGAAGCTTCGCCGTCCTCGTCTCCAAGGAGCACTCTGGCTTGATTTCCTCCAAGACCTGTTTGTTTGTTCTTCTGACAGTCCTGCCTAATCACTTTCCACGAATTATTCTTCTAACAGCCTACGAGGATGGTCCATTCCCACCTCACAGGACAGAGAAAGTAGAGGCCCAAGCAGTGGGAGTAACCTGCCCAAGGTAACGCAGAGGATCAACCCAATGCTCAGGGCTGATCACAACGGTGGGACTTCTGAGAGCCAAGGAGGATTACAAACTGGGGAGCTGGGAGGATGACCCCCGAGTTTTACTGCATGCGTTAACACCGCAGTAAGATTCAACTTGGGCTTCTAGTTGAGGCCCAAGGCAGGGTTCAGGCCCACCTTCTGCTGCTGGTCCTCCAGCTCCAGCTGTGTAATGGGAGCGTACCCCAAGAACTGCAGAATGCCCACAGCACCACAATGCAACCCCCGAGGGAGCCACGCACACCCCACTTACTCATTCCTGCCAGCTGGGATGAGAGGTGGTTGGGGGCTGTTGGGTCAGGGCCCATGTCGATCAGATCGGCTGCTGGCTCGGTCTCGCTCGGGGCCTAGAGGGGAACGAGATGTTACGGGATCATCCTGCTGTGGCCTCAGTCCCTGCCCACAGCCCTGGGCTCTGCGCACTGCTCAGTGATATGTCACCAGGCCCTGGCTGCCAGGAGATGCTCCTCCCGCCCTCTATGTCGAGCTCTATTTGGACCCGTTGGGAAGCTGGGAAGACCCTTGGGTATCAGTCAGTGGCACAGCCTTGTTTATTTAAAGGGGCAGTGATGTAATACATTCAGAATGTGACGTAACACGTCCAAAGGGGCCTCTCTATGTGCCTTGATGAGAAGGCACCATCCTGTCACGACAGACCCTGGGGAGGAGAAGACAATCTTCCTTCTCCCATTAACATGATATAGTCACAGAAAAGGGCATGATCTGATCACAGAGAATGAGTCTGAAAGAAACTATCTTAATAAATGCTCTCTTGGTAAAAACAAAAACCGAAAAACAGACAAGCCAGTTACCTTGGCAGCCTGGCCTGTTCGGAACCGTTCAAACCTACGAGACATAAAAGACCGATGTCAAGGAGACATGCTGGGGGCGGGGCACCTCGGCACAGCCCACTGCTGAGAGGGGCCACCTAGGCAGAGCCCACTGCCGAGGGCGCCCACCTCGGCAGAGCCCACCGCTGAGCAGGGCCACCCTGCCTGGCCCAGGCAGAGCTTTTAAAACTGTGAATTTAAAAATCAACAACAGAGGCCACGGGCAGGGTGAGAACACATCCTGGTTTGCCTGGACGGACCAGTTCAGGCCTCTGTTTCCCGGAATCCAGTTCATAGCACCCGTTCATGTGCACAGTTGCCCCAGTTTGGATTTTATGGCCATCTTGGTCATGACCAGCACCAAACCAAGCAACCAACACAGCCTGGCCTTACGGAGCACCACTGTCTTCTGTCGTACCTGTGGGTGCCATGAGTTAGGGCTGACTTGATGGCATCCTACTATTTAAAAAATATCTATAAAGCATGCAAGTAGGCTCAGTCAACAGAAGTTGTTTCAGCTAAGTATGTAGATATCTGTGCGTGGGTTAGGGGTTCTCTGATGGGGTGGAGAGAACATAAAGTGTACAGACGTAACCAGTACACTGTCTCCTGGAACCATGTGACCCTGTTAGTGGCAGGGGCGGGCGAGCTGGGGCTGGCATCTGGTCAAGTGCTGCCCTGTTACTTAGTGTATGGCCTTGGCTAAAGGACATCACCTCTGGGCCTCAGGATCCTTATCTATTAGAAAGAAGCTAAGAATAGAACCTGCCTCCCTGGTGGCTGTGAGGACTATGTGGCAACACTGGGTGTGAGCTACTGGATAAACAACAAGTCCCAGGAGGACGGCAGGCCCGACAGGTTGAGTGTCTAGGGCACCATCACCCCACAGCCCACAGCTGGCCATGGAGAGCGGTGAGCACGCTGGACCACAGAGCAGAAGACAGGCAGCTGTGGCCTGCAGTAACCCCACGCCATGTCCAGCTGCTCTGCGATCGCTCCGTGTGGGTCTGTGGATGGATGACACGGGGTGAGCAAGGCCTCTCATTTCCCAGGAGGCCTGGCTGGGAGGCTTGGGAGGCAGGAGCTCCTGGCCTCACAGCTCTCCTACGAGATGGGCACCCCTGCGAGTGTCCTTTTACAGGTAAGGACATGCTGTTTCTGCAGTCCCAGGTTAAGTGTCCCTTTGAGGAACATCTCTTCACTGTCTTCTTTTCAGGTCCTGGTGGGACTGGCATTAAAGGGCTCTCGCAACCCCACACTACTGGGTAAAGGGAAGTGAAGCTGGCGTCTCTTAAATGCCGACTCTCAAAAAGCATGATACAAAGATGGGCAGGTGTTAGAAGTGACCCATTTGCTGATAGTGGCACCCTGAAGACAGGGTCCTGGGGTTGCTGTCCCCTAAGCTGCCCTCTCACTCTTGCCTTGCTGGGAGGTGTCACTGTTTCTCTGCTCTCTGGATTCTTAAAGCTACTCTCCTAGTGAAGGCTAATCTATTAACTTCTATTTGTGCTTAAGCTAACCAGGAACAGTCTGTGTGGCTTACAATCAAAGGTCCCTAATTCAAGTTAGGTAATGTGTCTCAGGTCCCAGGGCCAGCAAGAGGTGGAGCCAGCGAGGGCCTCACCAGTGCCAGGGCCAACTGCGGAGAGGAGAGGGGTGGGGGGGTGGGGGTCGGGCATTCATGCACACCGGAAGACAGCCAGGCGGGCTTCCATTCAATGGCTGCCTTGTGTCTGAGAGGGGGAGGCCGAGATGCTGGGAGGAGACCAGGGGAACAAGGGAGAAGGACGCAGCCTGGGCAGCTGACCGGAGCTGGGTGTGTGTGTGTGTGGGGGTGTGTGGTGTGTGTGTGTATGGTGTGTGTGTGGTGTGTGGTGTGTGTGTGTGTGGTGTGTGTGTGTGTGTGTGTATAGCCGGTGTGTATGTGTGTGTATGTACGTACATACCGTTCATGGCGCAGGAACACGTTGTTGAGGTTGTCGTTGACAATGAGCAACTCCTCTGTCAGCCGTTCATTGGCGATTCGGGGGATGAGCTCCAGGACCCGCTGCTGCATCGCGCGGCACGTCCGGTTGAGCTCCTGCCGAGGAAGCAGCGAGAAAGGCACCCTCAGCCCGAGCGGGACCGCCTCCAGCTCCAGCCTCGGTGGGGGGAGACGTTCCCCAACTGGAACTCAAGGTCTCAGGAAAACGGCTCACTTCTGAACCTCCTAACTTTCACTAGGGACCACAACATGTTTAAGCACTGCAGAGAACTTGGCTTTGAGCAGGCTTCTGATTAGATTCTGCCGCCATCTCTGCTTGGTGGAAGGCAGCGAGACGAAGGTGGACAGCCCGCAGACCCCAGCACTGGAAAAGAGAGCCAGAAGGTGCCGACCAGCGTCTTCAACCCGAGCCTCTATTTCTGCCTCATTGGCTTCACTGACGGACTTTTGAAAAAAGATCTTTAACTTTGAATAATTTCCTGTGTACAGCACAGAAGGTTCTGGAATGCCCTTCACTTAGCTCCCTGTCTGACCTATGTCAGAGCTGAGAAAGCAGCACTGTGATAACATCATTAAAAACGTTAGAGACTCGAAATCTCTGTAAACCTTCATTAAAATTAATAAAAAAAAAGTTAGAGACTTTATCCAGATTCCATCAAGTTTTCCATTACATAACACCCCCTTTTTGTGTCACGATCCCACCCAGGGCACTGAAGTAATAAACAGGTTGATCCTTTTCTCTCTGTTCTTGTTATGTGACATCAAGTTGTCCGCGACCCATAGCAGCCTATGTACAGCAGCTCTGAACCCTGCCCTGCCCTGAGCCAGTGTCACTGACTCCGACACACCAACCCCCACAGCCCCAGTTACTGTGTCCATCTCTCTCATCTGGGGTCTTCCTCTCCTGTGCTGTCCCTTCACCCTTCCAAGCATGTCCTTTGCCATTTGCCAATTCAACAAATCAGATTGACGTTTGATCAGCACCATCATTTATTTAAACTTATTTGGGGAAAAAACAAGAGTATGCAGAAATTGCAAACCACATCTGTGGACGTTTGAAAGGAGCCCTGGCAGACCAATGGCTAGGCCCTCGGCTGCGAACCGAAACTTTGGCTGTGTGAACCCACCCATAGTCTGCAGGAGAAAAGACCTGGGACTCTGATTCTGTGATGGCCCCAGCCTTGGAAACCCCCTGAAGCAGTTCTGTGCTGTCCAACAGGGTCACTAAGAGTTGGAAGTGATATGACAGCCCTGGGCTTGGTTTGCATCTGAGCCTGGTGCATGGGAATCATTCAGTGGCCGAGTACCAGTGAGCTGTTACCAGGTCAACCTACCTTCCCAGAGCACTCACAATGCGCTCATCTCAGCCTGGGACACAGGAGAATGACCGCAGCACAGCAACACGGCCCTCAACTGGCTCATCTTTTCTTAATTCACCCTCACCTGGTCTTCATAGTGACTCGTCTGGTCACCCATCAACCCCAGGCTCCCACTTCCACCCCCAGTCCCCTGAGGAAGCTCGGTCAGCATGGGGTGGAAGTCAGTCAGACAGGAGCCTGGCTCTCCAGGAGCCTGGGGCCTAGCGGGAGACTGATGTGTTATCAGTCACACGAAGTACCCTGTCCCCCTGAATGCTGGAAACTCCTGCCAGTCAGGTCTTCACTGCCTTCCTGGTGTCTGGGGCACAGCCCCCAATGAGCAAGGGAAGCACGTCTTTACTAAACCTGCAGTGAACAATTTTACATTTGTTTCCCCGTCACATGGAAACATCTGCTTCTAGGTACGGTTTCAACTAACTGTTCACTACAGATTCAGAGGAAAGTTTGTGTTTACTTTGCTCTCTAGCAGGGACTGCGAATATGAAGAGAGGCTTTGATTCTGTAGGAAGGGGCTGGGAGGTTGGCTGTGAGACAGACGCAGAGTCTTCCACATGGGGGAAAGCCGTGAAGTGCTGACCGCTGATGAATAAGTCAGCACAGGTAAGCTGACACTGCGGGCGCCCCGCTCAGCAGCTGCTCTCGGAGCTCCCCCTGCATGCTGACCTCCACGGGGAGGGTGCCCTTTCCTGAACACAGCCTTGTGCTCCGTGGATGCCCCAGCTGGACGCACCATGTAAACCCAAGTCAGCAGCTCCCCAAGGACCGTGGTGTTCACATCTCAAAGCTGCACAGCCGTCTCATGCCTCACCCTCCTCCGTCACCTGGCCTGCTCAATCTTCCTTTCCAGGTGATATACTAACATTCATTGAGCGCTTTCTCCACACTGGGCAAAGGGCTACACACTTTACATGAAAAGACTCATTTCAACATCACATTAAACATACACCATAAAGGCCACTATTAGAGCAATCTTCCAGGTGAGGAAACTGAGACAAATAAGGTTGTTTGGTCCAAACTAGAAAGTGGTAGAGCCAAGGTCTGAACCCCAATCTGAAGTGATCCAAGTCCCTATTGGAGATATTTGCTGTGATCAAGGTTGCTCAGACTGTGCCAAGCCCCTGGGCCAGTGAGCCAGGTGTCACTGGGGGCTGGGAGGGCTGGGCCCAGATGGGAGGGGACTCACCTGCAGGAGCTCCAGGTCCGCGGGCTCTGCCTGGGTGGGGACCAGCTCCGTCAGCATCTCCGACATCACCCTCACGTTCCCGCTCACCATCTCCAGCTCACTGCGCAGCTTCCCGATCTGAAACACACCGCGGGCTGAGTGAGCCACGTGGGAGAAGCCAGGGGGCTGAAGCGGCTGCCCTCATAGGGCCTGAGGGGACACCACCAGCCCTGAGGACGGTACCCAGAGGAGCTGACCCGCTGGCATCCTCTCTGCTGCTTAAGTGCCCGTGGGGGGCTCGTGCCCACCGCCCCTCACAGAGCTGTTACTGACCGTCACCATCTCCAAACGGGAGGCTGGCGCCGACAGAGGCCCAAAGAAAACAAGCCGCGGTTGAAGGAACCAGTGAGTGAGGATGGAAGGACGCTAGCAGTGGGTCCAGAGTGACGTTAACAAAGCCTCGGGGGCGGCTCCTCCCCAGGGTCTGAACCAGCTCCTGCTCAGAGCTAATTAGTTCCTTCAGCCTGAAACAAAGGGCTGCACCGGCTGCTGCTCTGACAGAAGGTCTGGGAGTCTTTGGGAGAAAGTTTCCCTGGCAGCTGCATTAATAATGAAGGGTGCTGTGGGGGACAGTGGAGCGAGAACTTGAGATACTACCATAAGATAATCCTACAGGGCAGAGGGCAGGGGCTCTTCATTCAAGGAAGCACTGTTGCTGTTAAGTGCCGTCGAGTCGCAGGCGACTCACAGCGACCCTATGAATCAAAGTCCTGTTGTTAAACTTCGAGGCTGCCAAGGACCCAGCACTACTTCTGCAGGGTGATGACCACGTTCATTACCTTGACTGTGTTGATGGTTTGGTAAGCCCTATGGGCTGCACAGGACAAGCTGAGGTTTAATACGTGCAGACTGTTGTTGGACAGCGGCCCCTCAATAAAGTGGTGAAAAACGAGCTCGCTCAGTGGCTGTGCTTTGTTGGTTACAGGCCTAGGCCATGTTCACACCAAACGACATATACACCCGTCAATGGACCTGGGCCCTGACCTGTTCCTGCGCCACAGGCCTTCTCTCCTCCTCGCAAACCTTCTGGACCAGCGGCCAAGCAATCAGATGTACTGCATGGGGCAAGCCTGCTGTCGGGGATCTTTCCAAAGTCCTGAAGAGTGCGCCTGATTCAGACCGTGGTCTTTTCAGTCACTTGCTGTGCCTCCGAGACACGGACAATGACTAAGGATGACGTTAGAGTTGTGGTATTGGAGAAGAGTAGTGAATATCGCATCGACTACCAAAAGAACAGGTACATCTTGGAGAAAGTGCAGTCAGAATGTCCCTTGCAGGCAAAGATGATAAGGCTTCATCTCAAGTACGCTGGGTATGTTGCTAGGAGAGGCTATTCCCCGGAAAGACATCGTGCTTGGAAAGGCTGAGGGCTGGCTAAAGTGAGGAAGACCCCGACACAAGGACTGCAGCAGGGGGCTTGAGTGAGTCACAGGACAGGACAAGGGTCAGGCCTGTTGTTCACAAGGTCACTATGCTCTGTGTTATACTCGATGACACCTAACAACAGTAGAAACTGAAGATGACTGACAGCAGATTCTGCTTCCCGACTGCGCGCTCAGTGGAAGCACTTGGCTCACATCTCTGTTCACCCTCACCCCCGCCTTCCCAGGTGGTCAGCGCTGTCATGACAGAGGAAGGGGTGCACTGGACCCCTAACACACCCACTGCAGATCACGGGCCAGCAGAACGTGGTGCCTGCAGCCCAGTGAACACACGCTCTGGGTAGGAGCGAGTGGAAAAACTACGAAACACACCCCTCCGTATCCGAGTCAGATGGGACTTAATTACAGAGGCGCCTGGGAGCCAGTCACCCCAGCGCTGCTTGAAATGTCGTAGCACGTCCCTGGAGACGGAAGGGGACGTGGAGATGAAACTAAGACTAGTCGGTTTTGTTCAGAGAACCTTCTTACACAGTCAGAACCTGAATCTAAGCTCACATGCTAGACTTCTGGCAAACGACCAGGTCAGAGAAGTTCTTGAGCAATATGTGTGGGTTTTAGCATTTTTTAAAAACACCTTTAATTCTTTTTTATCCACTTAGTAAAACTCTTTTAGCAATACTTGTAAACCTCGGGGCAGGGTTTTGAAAACTTGCTATGAGACGGCAGAGCATGGAAGTTTCTCTTCGGGGAGGTTAGGGTGTCAAAGACTGGTTAGTTTATTTGGTTCCAAGTCCAAATAATCCAGCACACGTGATGACGGGTGGGCTCTCTTCTCTGGAAAATGAGGCTTCTCTAATTTGCTGTTTCCTCCCACCCCCTGTGTCTTCCTCACCAGTACTTTCAACAGCTAAGTGTTTACACTCAGCTGGTGAGATGTGTCTCCAGTCTGTAAAAAATCTCAAAAGCGGGCACCCTCATAGCACACAGACTTCACAGCCAGCCCAAGAAGCATATCTAAAACGATCGAGCCGCAGGCTAACACCGCCCTGCTGTAGAAGCTGCCTGGAGTAGCGTAGGCACTGTGCAAACAGCTCCTGGTCTTCCTGCAGCTTCTGGAGCCAACACTGAGGCACAGAGGCTGGACAAGGCAGCATGCCACCAAGGCTGAGGCAGGCCGCCCTTCAGAGCTCGTCAAGGGGCCTTGACCTCTAGACTCTTACAGACAGGGAGCCTCATCTTCTTCTTGAGCCTTTGTAGGCAGCAACGCAGTGTAACGCAAAGGTGTTTATTTTCTGTGGAGATGTTTTAAGACCATTTCAGCTAGACCCACTGTTCACATGAAATCTTTTACGGTCACAGACCACAGAGCGAATCTGGCTGAAGGGGTGGCCTGTTGGCTCTCTGTATGGCCTGAAAGCTTCACAGAGAGCAGTCTGAGAAGGATCGGACAGAGCCTGCTTGGAGTCACAGCGACGTGAAGCTGGCTCCCAGCCGTCTCTGACGAGCTGTGGAATTTGGCAAAAGTTATCACATCTCTCTGAGCCTCAGCTTCCTCCCTCCAGAACAGGAAGAAGAGAATGTACATGAGATGTGTGAGGACGCAGTGGGGGCTCCGCTGACGGGCGGCCCTGCCCTGAGGTGTGTGGAGAGGGGTCCAGGCCTCCTTGCTGTTTACCTGCTCAGGGGTGGGCATGAGGGGTGTGTCACTGGGAGGGTCGGCCGGGGTGGGCAAAGGGGCAGCGTGCTGATTATAGTCCACTCGCTGACTGGAAGCTTCTGTGCCCGCAGAATTCTGTCCTGAAGGTGTTTCCGAGTTGAACACAGTCTAGAATGTAAAAAAGCAGGATCGGCAAGGACTTCTGGAAAAGCTAAGGGCCCTGGTGGGTGAGGGACCCACAGGAAGTAGCTGCAGAAAGTCTCTCTGGGGACAACCCTTGCCTCCTCTCCTGACTGCTTCTGGGATTGTGAGGAGGGGACCTCCCACAGGCCCATGGGGCGGTGACTCTCCTCACCCGCTGGGGTGTGTGGATGGGCGACAGCATGTCCAGGTCGGTCATGGGGAACTCCAGGCCCTTCCTCCGCAGGTCCTCGTAGACGGCCACCACACCTGTCAAATCGGGCGAGCTGCGGAACGCGTCAGCCCAGGACTGAGAAGGGGACAAGGGGACAAGGCCAGTAACCACTGCTCACTTTTTCCCCTGCAGGTCTGCCTGCTCCCTCAACTCACTGGTTCCTTCTCCAACTTGCTGACTCTTTGACTGAATTCATCCAGCCAGGACCCCCTGAGCAACGCTTGGGGACAAGCCTCCCCGACTCAGAACAGGACCAGCTGACACCCCAGACAGTGAAGCATCCATGACAAACAACCTGACGCAGAACGGCCTTGCAGGGGGGAAGGCTCTGTTGCGGGGAGTCTCCCTCCTTGGCCTAGGGCCTAGTGTGCACCCCCTCTCACTTCCTCGGCCTCGCCCCCACGCTCACCTGGATGAGGTTGAGCACCTTGTCGTGCACGATGGTGGGCGGGTTGTTCTTGGGCAGGATGGTCCTCACCAGCACACCCTCCACGAAGTCCTGGCTGGCCACCAGCACGTGGAAGCGGTGCCCGCAGTTCTTGACACAGGTTTCCAATACCTGGAGGGTCATAGGGGGCCAGTGAGCACCCCGGCCAGAGGAGGTGAGTTGCCCAGACCACTTTCACCCCAGGACCTTGTAGTTCTCCCGATGTCTGGGGAGTGGGGCCAGCCTGAGCAGATGCATGGGGCTTCCTGGAGAGACCCCAGTTCTTGGAGAACTGGCGGAGGGGTGCAGGTAACACCTGGATTGGGGCTTATGTGCTGGGCAGTAGGCCATGTGGGCGGAGGGTGAGGTGTCAGCTGGAGGTCACTCATTGAGCCGAGTCAGCGCTCACAGGACTCTGTCCTGAACACAGTCTAGAGGAGATGACCTTCAGCGGAAATCAACAGGAACCAGAGCTTTCGATCAGCTCCTGGCCTGGGGGCTGTGTTCTGTCTCCCGGCTTAGCCTGCTGCAAGGGGGGCAGTGAAGAGATTACTGGGGCATCCTTGATGATCGCCCACATCTCAGGCCAGCACCTGCTTTCTGTTTGGTTTTCAGGGCATCAGAGTGACAAGTGGCAGGTGACTCAGCCTGCCAGGCTGTCAGGGTGGCCAGCCACGAATCACTACAGAGCCAGCAGTCCCAGATGTGGGGCCTCGGTGCCCGCTTCCCTGGCTGGGCTGGCGAGCAGCTTTCCAGAAGGCCTCTCTTGCCATTCTAAGCCCACCAGTGGTGTACACAGGGTGACACTTTGCCCACACCTCATGGACCGCTGCAGGATGGACAGACAGATGGGGCACTCACCGTGAGAGCCAGCATCACCTCATGGAAGTTCTTGTTTCCCACAATTCTCTTCTTCACGGCCCGGAAGGCATCTTTGGGCCTGGAAGGAGGAGGGTTTAGGTCTGGACCCTCCTTACGCACCACAGAAGGAGGTGGGCTGCCACTCGATGGCTCTCCTAACCCAGTTTCCCCGCACCCCAACCTGTGTTGTGTCTTCACGTTTGACTCACATCAGAATCTCCTGGCCTCCCCATAATCCCTGCGGGGGGCGGGGGAGAGGGTGGTGATGATTCTCAATGCCCCTTCTCTTGGACAGCTGCAGCCGAACCACTTTGTGGGACAGGCTGAGTTGTTAAAAAAATGCCGATTTCAGGAGTCCTACCCTAGGCCTTTAGCACAAATCTCTCTTAGGAAAAATGCTCGTTACTTGGTACCCTGGGCTTCTCCTGTGGGGGAATCTGAAACCCCATTATCTGCAGGATCAGCTCTGGAGCCCCATTTCGTCCAGTTCCCCCACCCAGGCGAGCTGGCGCCATGGAGGTGGCCCTGGCTCACAGCGACCTTATGTTCAACAGAATCAAACTCTTCTTGAGCCTGCGTCCTTCTCACACTCCCTGCCATCTCTAACCACTGCTTCAGTCCCTGTGCCAGTCCACTGTGCTGCAGGTGTGACGGCCACGCTTCCGTCGTCTTATCGAGCCCCACCATGGGCCAGCCCCCGTGAGGATGGTGCGGGGCTGGGCGACGTGCTGCTGTCTCTCTTTCTCTCTCTGTCACACACACACACACACACACACACACACACACACACACACACACACCCCCAAGAAACCATGCCAGGCACCACACAAGATGCTGGAGACGCAGCAGTGAAGGAGACCCATCCGACCACGCTCTCGGACACACCTTCCAGAAAACCTCCAACAAGGGGAGGAAACAAGCAGAGCCCTGGCGTGAGAGGGTCTGGGGTGGGGGTTTGGTTAGGGGAGCCCTTCAGCTGAGTCTCAAATGAGCCAGCCTGGGTGGGGGGAGGCTGGTGCCCAAAGGAGCGAAACTGAGGCCCAGTGAGCAGAGCAACGTGAAGCTGATGGGCTGGAGGGCAGAGAGGAGGCCCAGGAAGCACAGTGGGGAACCGCTGGGACAGCAGCCCACCCAGTCTCATCTACACATCACTAGTACCCTGGCTCCTCAGCTCTGGGGCAGGGGAATGTCACTTGAACACTCTCCCCTACATACCTGAGTTCAGGTGACTCCCCTCACCCGCTGTACCCCCACCTGCACAGTCACATGGCGAAAGTCCAGGGTAATTCTGCTTTCCCATAAGGTCTCCCCAGTTCCTCAGTCTCGCGGGGGGTTCTGCCATGTGACAGTGACCCGGCAGCTAGCTCACTCTGGGTGAGGCAGCCTCTGATGGCAGGGATCCTGTCCTCGTCTGACATGTTCCCCTCAAGGGCCCAGCGCTGCAGAAGCACGGGGGACGTGTCCACCTGACAGTCAGTGTTCATTCCTCAAAAGCTAAGTCAGAAAACTCTAACCTGCCTCTTCCAACAGTGAAGGCGGAAGGGAGGGATTCCTGGGAACCGATCCTAAAAGGGGGCAGGTGAGAGGATGAGACAGGCCAGAGACCACAGACCACCAGTGTGACCGTGCCAGAAGTGTGTGGGCAGCTGCCACAGAATGCCTGGGGTGCCCTCTGCCCTTCCTGGCTCTTCCTGCAGTACTGGTCACCGGCCTGCGGCCCACTGCAGCTCCCTGAAGGGAATCCTCTCACAGGAGACGGGGGTGGGGGGAGTACTGGTCACCGGCCTGTGGCCCACTGCAGCTCCCTGAAGGGAATCCTCTCACGGGAAACGGGGGTGGGGGGACCTAGAGAAGAGCCCTGTAGGAGGAGCCAATTCAGGCCTGCGTGCCAGTTCTGCTGCATCAGTAATGATTGGTAAATGATTAGTAATGATTGGAAAGCAAAAGTTGGAACAAAGAATAAAGACTCAAAAGTTGGAAAGTTTGGTGACAGAAATGAAGCTGGTGGTTGAAAGATGGAATTTGGTATAATCATTGACTATTCATTACCAACACCTTTTTAAAAACATAACTGTATGGGTAATACTTTGCTAATAACAGAGCAAATGGAAATTCTCACAACTGGACCAATAAGCGACATTGTGAGAAATGGAGAAAAGACTGACATTGACAAGGAATTTACTTGAATCTGTAACCATGTGCCCTGGAATCAGCAGTGAAACCAAATGATGTATAGAAGTGGGCAAACTGCCAGCCAAGGACCTCTTTAATACACCAATGAGCAAGGAAGCCACTTTAAAGACTAAGGTGTTCCTGACCCAAGCCACAATATTTTCCATTGCTTCTTATGCATGTGAAAGCTGGACAATGAATAAGGAAGACTGAGGAAGAATTGATGCCTCTGAACTGTGCTCCTGCCAAAGAGGAATGAATATGTTATGGACCGCCCAAAGAACAAAGCAGTGTGTCTCAGAAGAAGAACAGCCAGTGTGTTCCTCTGAGGCAGGGATGGTGAGACTTTGTCGCACAGTGTCCAGTCTTGTTATCAGGAGGGGACAATCCCTGGAAAAGGCTCTATGGAGGGTCAGCGAAGGAGAAGATGCTCCACAAAGTGGAACGACATAGTGAGTGGGACAAGGGGCTGAGCACAGCACGAGGCTGCAGACGCCGCAGATCCAGGTGCAGCTCTGACTGTTCACGGTTCACAGTGTTGGTCGCTACAAATTGGAGCTGACTCGGTGGCTGCACCTAACACGGAGGGTCAGTCTGGAGCAACATGTGCACGGCCACAACACACGGGGCAGAAGACAAGTGCGGAGAGTTTAAAGCTCAGACAGGCTCCGGGAGCTCATGGCTCACATGTGCTTTTACTTATTCCCGTGTCCCCGTGTCTCCCTCTTATTTATTCCTGTGTCCCCATGTCTCCCTCTTGTTTATTCCTGTGTCCCCATGTCTCCCTCTTGTTTATTCCTGTGTCCCCGTGTCTCCCTCTTGTTTATTCCTGTGTCCCAGTGTCTCCCTCTTACTTATTCCTGTGTCCCCATGTCTCCCTCTTATTTATTCCTGTGTCCCCGTGTCTCCCTCTTATTTATTCCTGTGTCTCCCTCTTGCTTATTCCTGTGTCCCCGTGTCTCCCGCAATGCCTGGAACAACAAATCATGCAGGGCAACAAGTCTCAAAGACCCTGAGCTGAACATCTTCCTGCTTTTCACAAGAAAACAGGACTTGCAGCAGCAACAACTGCCCCCCGGAAGCGCTGAGGCCTGAGGAGGTTTCCTGCCTCCAGTCTCCTGGTGGCCCCACCTTTCCAGCCCCTTCTCCCACTCTCATGATGTCAGATGCAGAGGTGAGCGTCCCTCCCCAGTTCCTGCACAAGCCCTCAGGCCTGGCTGAGGAGGAGGTGGGAGGTTGCCTGGCAGCAGCTGCGCTCTCAGGGCTGGACATGGTGTGACTCAGCCACCTACAGTGTCCTTCCAGGCTGTGAGTGTTCCTGCCTGCCACCCACCTAGCTCAAGGAACACTTGCAGGACAACAGGATCATCTCAGTGAGAAATGGAGAGAGACAGGAGGTTCTGCTCAACTGCTGATCAGAACTGACCAGAACAGAGGCCTCATGTGGTCACACTCCCTGCAGACAACAGTCCTCCCGGGATTCCCTGGGGTTCTCCCCACATCATCCCCTCTCTGTTTTCCTCTAGGGGTTTGGTCCTTATTGTTCATAGACTCTTGGAGAGCTCTGTCTTTGAGGAAACAGAATGACACACACAAGGTCACACAGCTAGCCAGCGCTGGTTAGTCAGAGGGCTGGCGGAGCAGGGGTATGTCTCACACTGTCCACTGAGCTGGGCCCCTGGGTGCTCAGGTCAGGGACCATGTGACATGTTTTGGAAATGCTCAGCCAACCTCACTCTTATTAGCCACTGGTTCTGCTTCACTGTCACTGCCCCTCCAGTGACCTCCTCCATGCAGGAAACGAGAGTCTACTCTCAGGGGAAGCCCCCGGTGCACACGGTGGCCCAGGCCGAGCAGACCGACGCCTGGCCCGATGACTGTGGTCCTATGAGGCTGCTGCACGTAGGACTTGGGGTTTACCAGGGCAGCTGCTCAGAGGCTGTATGGGGCGAATGCATTAGGGTCCAGATGGTTAGTTGCACATGTGGCATAACTCTGAACTTGGCACCTTTGGGCGTCTCGACCATTTAATGAGGGTGAGACTTGAGCATGATTTCAGTATTTAAATACCTGATTCTGGGCCCTACTTAGAGATTCAGCCTGAGAGAGGGCTGAGGGACTGACTGCCTTCACAGAACTGCCAGGAGCCTGGGCGACTGTCAGACCTGGAACTATGGCTTCTGGGGCCACGACAGGCTGGACTTCTGATGTCCCTCTCTGGAACCAGCTGCCGCCTGGGGCTGACCGTGTGGACACAGTGATGTTGGGGCCAGGAGAGGCCCTCTGACAGAAGGCGGGGGGAAGCGCTGGGCAGGATGAGCAGCACTGCTGGCCGTCCCCTCACGTCCCCATCTCTCAGGCAGTGTGTCCTTACCCTTCTTCCGTCTCGTTGATGATGTCACAGATTTCCATGTTGAGGGCCCAGTCCTCACTCTGCAGGGAGCCATCTGTAGCTTTCTCTGAGGAGAAGAAATCGAAAGTCACACAGGTGGGTGGAGGTCCCAGGAGGAGAAATTAAAATGGTAGGGTAGGGGGTGGGAGGATGCACGTCAAGAAGAGATGTGAATGGAGGGAAGACTACGGCATCACCCAGGGAGGGGGTACCCTAGTCCTCACAGGTGAGGATGGCGGGGGAGAGGATACATGTCAGGAAGAGATTTGAGAGGTGGGAAGACCACAGCATCGCCCAGGGAGGGTGGTACCACCGTCCGTACAGGTGAGGCTGGTGGAGAAGGAGGTGGGGGGTGTGCACATCAGGAAGAGATGTGAGAGGTGGGAAGACCATGGCATCTCCCGGTGAGGGTGGTACCACTGTCCTCAGTGGTGAGGAACCTGGTCCCTCAACCTGGTGAACTGGCAGAACAGGAATCAGATTGATTTGCCTCAAAAGATTTCTTTTTTGACACAATACTATTGTTGTTATGTGCCATCAAGTTGCCTGCTACTCACAGCGATCCTATGTACAACAGCTCAGAAGTCTGCCCTGTCCTGAGCCAGTCTCACTGACTCCAACACATCAAGCCCCACTGCCCCAGTTACTCTGTCAATCCATCTCATCTGGGGTCTTCCTCTCCTGCACTGTCCCTCCACCCTTACAAGCATGATGTCCTTCCCCAAGGACCGGTCTCTACTGACCATGTACCCACGGTATGTGAGATGGAGCTTTAAAATCCTAGCCTTCAAGGCGAACCTTGGTTTCAAACCTATTGTGTTTCTGACACAATATACACAAAACTTTATTTTTATTTTATTATTTTTTGTGTGTACCGTCAAATCGGATCTGACTGGTACAGGAGGAGATTGTCCCTCCTTCTCTAGCAAAGCATCTGGTAGAACTTTATTTTTTAATTTATTTATTTTTTATTATTTTTTGTGTGTGTACTGTCAAATCAGATCTGACTGGGACAGGAGGAAATTGTCCCTCCTTCCCCGGCAGAGCATCTGGTGGATTGGAACCGTGAGCCTCTGGGATTGCAGTGCAGCTTCTTGCCACTAGATCACCAGAAGAACTTTATTTTTAAAATACCTTTGTTTTCTCTTTCTTGAAAATTGTTTAGCTTGTATAATGCTTTTTAAAAGATATATATATATATATATAGATATATAAATTTGAGTAGAAGTTTAGAAATCATATTGGCTTTCATTCAATCATATATGTACATTTTATTTTATAACATTAACTACAATTGATTATAGTGTTTAACTACCCTTTACTGTATACCATCTTTCCCTTCTTTTCTCCTTTCTCCCTCCCATTGTGACTACCCAAGAATAAGTTTACCAGTGTGTAAACCTTTCCTTAGCTTTTTATAACAGCAGTCATGTACCATAATTGTCCTTTTGTGACTGGCTTACGTCACTCAGCACAATTTCCACTAGATTCATCCATGTTGTGCAGTGGTTCAAGTATTCTCCATTCAAGAATATTCCATTGTAAAAAACACAGAAAGAATCTTCACAAAGGAAGGTATTCAAATGGCCAACAGACATTTGAAGAAATGCTCCAAATCACTGGCAATAAGAAACATGAAAATCAAAACCACTATGAAATACCATCTCACTCCGGTAGCAGTGGCAAAGTTTAACAGGACACCAAGTAGTAAATGTTGGAGAGGATGTGGAGAGATAGGAACTCTGTTAGGTCGTTGGTGGGATTGTAAAATGGTACAAACACTCTGAAAGGCAGTTTGGCGCTTCCTCAAAAAGCTGAACATAGAAATTCCACATGACCCAGCAATTCCATTGCTTGGAATATACTCCAAGTAAATGAGAACTGAGGCTCAAAGGGAAACGTGCACACCAGTGTTCATAGTAGTCTTAGTCACCATCTCCATGAACATGGAAACAGCCCAGATGTCCAAGCATAAATGAATGAACTGAAAAGTTGTGGTACATTTCACACAATGGAATACTATGCAGCACACAGGAGCAATGATTTTGTAAATTACTAACTTGGGAGGGACTGGGGAGCATTACGCTGAGTGAACTAACTCAGTCCCACAAGGACAAATACTGTATAAAACCATTATTACAGAATGAGTATGAGGATCAAAGGGGGGGGTGGAAGCAGAGTGGTGAGGATGGGTGGGAGGTGGGGGTGGGGTGTTAATCACAGGAGATGAAAGAAATGGGAAGGATCTTTTGTGAAAAACAATGTATTCAAACTTTGTAAATAAATCATTAAATTAAATTAATTTAAAAAAAAAAGAATATTCCAGTGTGTGAATGTACTGTAGTTTCTTCAGCCATTCGTTGTCCATTGATGGGTTAACAAGCCTAACAACCTTGGGGTTGCTTCTACCTCTTTGCTATTGTAAATAACACTGCAATGAACACTGGAGCGTGTCAGTCAGGGTGGCAGTTCCTATTTGTTTGGGATACACACCTTGTAGTGTGAATGCTGGATCAAAGGTATTTCTATTCCCAACTTTGTGAGGAGGCATCATACGGCTTTCCATATGCAGTATTTAGAAAGGGTAACCATTTCAAGTCCCATGGTTCAAACTATAAAAAGCTACAAAGCAGTGTGGTATGTAATGGGAAGTAAATCCTCTTCCCTCCCTGATGTCCCAGGCCCCACACCCTGAAGGCACACCCACTGTGACCTGTGTCCCCTTTTAATTTCCAGAGACACCCTCCCCTGTGAAATGACCAACATGGCAATGATTACATCTGGACTCCCTCACCCACACTTCACTCGGCCTTTGCCCTTCTCTTCCTGGGTCAGTGTCTGTCCAGCCAATGGACCTACTTTGTGTGAACCGCTGAGAAGTCAAACAAGGCAGGGAACACAACACTTGACATTCAAAACAACACCATAAAAAACAAACAAAAGAAAAAACAAACCAAAGAGTGCTCCATAAGAGAAGGCAAAGCCTTTTCTTTCCAGCTTGGGTGAAATTCACATGACATAAAAGGGCCCATTTCAAAGTGTACAGAGTTGAGGGGGATTTACTCTATTTCTACCACATTTCCACGTGGCAGGCGATTGCTTGGGTAAGATTCCCAGATCAGGCAGGAGTCGGCTATCGGAGCTCACAGGCTGTCGAGGCAGGGCCAGTGACCATTCACTGCAGGTCTGTGGGTGGCGGCCTTCTGTGTCACTCACCTGACATGGCCTGGACCGCGAGAGGAACCGGCTGTGTCAGGTGAATGATGAACACTGTAACAATATCAGGATGTTCATTAAGATGGCTTGAGAAAATGAATACTTGTCTCTCCCTTCAGGGCCTTGTGATCTTTGTTAGAAATGGGCCAGAAGTCAGTCCCACCTGGTTTCTGCCTTGGGTCCCGAGGCCCACTGGATGTCAGGGAGGCCCAGGTCACCTTCTCACTGACATTCTCCTCTGCATCCTTCAGGGTCCCACCCTCACACAGACCTCTTTTAAGGTAAGTTGCTCAGAGCGTGCGCAGACAATTCTGTTTCCTGCTTCTCTTTGGCTTTCTGCCATGGCACACCTGCCCGGCTGGTCTGGAAGACACAGGCCCATGTCCACGTGATCTCCAGGACTGTGTGATGAGATGGGACTCGTCCTCCGAGTGAGGCCTTGGGGCTGGCTCCTGCATCCTGACACAGCCTGCCGCCGCTCTGAGCTGGAGTGCTCCCACACTTTCCTGGTTCCTGTGGCCATTCTGCCAGCCTGCTGACGGGTCCCGGGGCACATGGACACAGGCTGCCACCACCTATCATGGGCCAAGAGCCTTTAGAGTGTCAGTCACACAGCACTCACCATTCCACGTCACTGTCACAACCCTTCTGAAAGGAAGCTTCTCACCTGCACAGTGCAGACTAGAGGCGGCTGAGGCTCAGAGACGGTAGGACACCTCACTTGTTGCATAGGCCTGTTCCAGGCACTGGAGGTAACAATGGTGGACCAGGTGGACATGGTTCCTGTCCAGTGGCCCTCGGAGGCGGGTGCTTTGATCGTAGGTCTGTTAACCCTATAGCTCCCGCCCCTCCAGGGCAGAGCTCTCTGGACCTGCCTGGGCAGGCGGCCCTCTGGTCCGTACAAGGGGCCATCCTGAAGGGCGATGCCTGGCTGGGCAGGTTCCTGAAGGTCCTGTGACCTTTGTTTTGAAATGGTTCTGACGTCAGTTCTGCCCCAGCCCCGCCTTGAGTCCTGCGGGCCAGGCGGACACCAGGGCGGCCTAGGACACACGGCAGGCAGCAGAGGCGGCAGAGCAGGAGGCTCTACTCCCACAAGGGAGTCTCATCTCGCAGACACTAAGTGGCTTCTCTGTGTTCCAGCCACTCTCCACCCTTGACTGACGTGGTCACATATATGAAGAACTAGAGAGACAGGGACAAGTATCCTCCAAGCCCCGGGGACCAGGACCCACTTGGGAGGTTTTGGGGGGAGATGTGGACAATTAAAACAGGCAAGATTTGCTCCCCCTTTGGAGGCCTGGTCCCTGCAGGAACCCCAGCTCCACAGGCCTGGAGGCTTACTGTCTCCCTGGGTGCCTGGTCTGCGTCTAACTGGTCCACAAAGTTCTGTCACTTTTAGCTTTCCAGTTGCTTTTCATCTGTTTTCTTCTTGCCAGCCCTGTGTCATGGCCCTGACCTGGGGCCATCATTCCCTCTCTCCCAGATCACGTCCTCAGCCCCCTTGCTGCATCCTATCTCGCTCCTCCTGATCCTGTTTTGCCTGAGAGTGGACTTTATGAATGTGAATGTGACCGTGTCCCTCCTATGCCCTAACCCCTCAGAGGCTCCCTAGTGGTGAGCGTGAAGCCCACACGCTGGCCTGCTTGTCCTTGAGAAATGACAGCGTTCTACCTTCCTGAGGGCCCACTGCACACTGTGGAAAGCCAACTAGCTAGGTCAGCTTCCACAGGGAATGGAATCTAATCCTAGCAAGTCAGAAAGGGGAACATCACTGTCTTCAGTGAACTCGTGAGGACACGGAGACCGAGGAAGGCCAGTGCCTTGGAAAGGCAGCAGGGCTGGTGAGGGAAG